TCCCTGTATAGCATTGTGACAGCAGATTTAACCACAGACCTCTCTATGATTAAATAGGTTTCATGGTGTAGCAATCACAAGAGAAAAATTTATAGATGGAAAACTGCAACTGCCTTTCAAAATTCCTTGCATAGCATAGTCCCAGACGTTTGTGTTTGCTCATATTCTATATAGTACAAGATAAACTGCCACAACAATGTATCAGATCCAATCCAAATGAGATGCTCTTTTGGTAAGTTTTTGTTTGAGTGATGTACGTGCACACATGTCTTATTTCATGATATTTTCTTGGGCCAAATTCAGTCATTCTGTTTTATATTTGGTTAGAATTTTCTCAGCAAAGTAGAGAGTTTTGATGTATGGGAGTTTTTTGAAAGATTTTTTTTTTTTTTTGAAAATAATTGTTAGCTCTCTGGAGTGTAAACTAACAAACAAGGGAGAGGTGAGAAAATGACATTTAGCAAACAAAAAATAAATCAATGAAACCTGCATGAAGCTTGGAGTTCAATTAGCACTCACTAGAATGCTTAAGTCTGCCTGCTGATTTTCATCATTTAGGACGGAAGGATGGTTTTGTGTTTTAAACATAGTACTGAGAAATTGGAGACACTAGAGACATCACACATTGGATGACCTTAAGCAACCCAGTTATGGCCTAATTTTCAATTTGAAATAGTAAATATGTATTGCATGATATAATGTACGTGTTTGGGTATTTAAATAGGTGCCTCTTAAACCTCTCCATAAAATTGAATCCCTTGTAAATGTGCTTGCTCCAGTCTTCCTGTCAGCCACCCAGAAACTCCAGAGAAAAATTCCAAAGCAGCATTAGATTTCCCCCTTTATTTTTAATGGATATTGTTAATATATCTAGTCACTCAATAAAAAGATCTAGGGCTGGCCATTCTATTATGAACAGGAGGCGATATAAGGAATTAACTGCTACAGACTTGCTGCTACAACCACTATTCCAGGGGACATGTGTCCATATTGATGATGGATTCTGCTTGATAATGAGCTAAGCACTGCATGTTCATTTTCATCATTTGAGTCAGATGCCACCAGCAGAAGATCGATTTTCTTTTTTGGTGGTTTGAATTCTGTAGATTTAGCCTCAGAGTGTTGCTCTTTTAAGACTCCTGAAATTATGCTCCACACTTCATCCCTCTCAGATTTTGGACGGCACTTCAGATTCTTAAACTTTAGGTTGAGTGCTGTAGCTGTCTTTAGAAATTGCACATTAGTACCTCCTTTGCATTTTTTCAAGCCTGCAGTCAAAATGTTCTTAAAATGAACAACATGTGCCGGATCATCATCTAAGACTGCTATTATCATGAAATACATGGCAGACAAAGAAAGCAAGACCGATTATAAAGCTAGCCTGTCACTTTCTGGTATGAAATCCTGTTTTCAGTTGATTCTGACTTCTCTAACCTTTAACCATTTGGGCTAAAATGTTCCACACTGACTATGGGCCTCAGGGTGAATGTTTTGGAAAATGTCAGCCACAACGGTTTAGCCATTTCCAAGAATGAGGCAAGGCTAGCTGTTTTTTGAACAGCTTTAGTACCACAGCACGGTAAGCCAGCCCTTGCAGCTCCAGCCTCACAGGGCAAGGTGGCACTGTGGACCAGATGAAAATAAGCAAGGGTCCAGCCCACCCTCTCCTCCGGATAGGAGATGGTGAAGGAAATGGAGGGAAGAACCAGTTGGCTGGGGAACAAGAGGACTGGAAACTAGTGGAAAAGAATGGGGAATGGGAAAAGGAGAGGACAAAGCTAACAAGGAGCCGGGGGAGAACCAGGGTTAGCTAGTAAATGAGCTATGCATAAGGTGATGGGGAAGGGGTTGTGGGAAGACAGATTGCATCAGGAACCTGGGGAGGGAGTCTAGGACTGGAAGTCAATGGTGGAAGAGTGGTGATATAGAGAGGACAAGGAGCTGGGAGGGAGGAACTGGGACTGGCTGGAAGGCTGAGAGTGTGAGCACGCCCAATTACAGCTGAAGCCAAGGGGAGCTATTGTTTGAATATATGAAGAGGTATATAATGCTACGTACTCGGAAAAAACCCAGGTCCTAATGAAAGACTGTATCATAATGCAAATGACACAGGGTTCAAATGAACACAGCCCAGGCAACATTAATTCTGGAACTTTACAACTTTTGCTTGCCTTTGCAACCTTAATTTGTTCTTTTCTAACAGAGCTTAGTGTGGGTAATACATCAATTCATTGAATGCTTTCCTCAAAAGTCAGTCCCTCAACCCAAACCCAATAACAAAGCCGGATTTTCCATACAGCCACCGATTGCTTTCATCAGCACTGATTACATTTCTCTGCTGCAGCTGCCTGTAGCATTCCCTAATGACCTGTCCCACAGGGGTGATGATTATCCTCAATTTTCACTGAAATCAGTGGATGCTGAGGGTGCTCAGCACTACACAGGAGGCTCTTACCCACTAACTGTATTGGGGCACTTGTAGATTAGTGACAAATTGAAAACATCACGAGGCGTGGACATTTCCAAACGTTAAAGGAGTGATTTTTAAAACAATGCCTTGGTATTAATGCAAATGAGGCCTGGAGTATTCCAAACACACGGTTCCAGTGACATGGTCAAACAGTTAAGATCTCGGGGAGAAAAGAGGAGGAAAGAATTATATACAATATGGACTTTCCAAATTGTTCTCCATGGGCCTGTGCACAACAGACAGACAAGCCTCCACCATCGATGCCTAAATAATTGCTGTGCAAAACAACAGCCATAGACAGAGTAATGTGAAGTCAAGTCTTATACACAGTACAAAGCAATAGGAATACCTTGACATGCTATGGAGTGAAATGTAGGTCTGGGATCCATCGCGTCCAACTCATGGTTCAGTCAGTCTTTATTTTATTTTACCCAAAGAAATTTCCCCCAGAAAGATGACACTGCCCCACTGTTCATTTGTTATCTGATCCTCCTCCACTCAACTTTTCCATGACTCCAGAGCTTGAGTGAGACAGGATCGATATAAGTTTCTATCATAAGTATAGGCCAGTTTACATGAATTATGTTAACCAAATGTTAACCAAACCAGCAGGGGGATAGTTTGTTTGGGGTTCAAGTTGCCGAACAACTTCACTGTTGCTGAATGTAAGGCTGTATGAGGTCTGTAAAGATCCTATGTCAAAGTGAGGAGGCTATTTTGTTCCCCATTAACTCCCTATAGCAAGGTGCTACGAGTTGAAATTGATTATGCAGAAAACTTCCCAACCAGACTGGCATCCTCTCTGGTGCAGCAACATCTATTGTTCAGCATGATTTTAATTAGCCAGATGTCTAATTATCATGAGTGTGCTCAAGTTTCCCCTGGTCCCATAAAGTTTGTCTACAGCCACCAATCCAAAGACTAGTCAAATATGTTCTGTAATAATCTGGGAAATGAGCTATAGTACTGCCAATCATTAAGGTAATCTGCTTGTAATATTTTACTGTGAGCCTGTTTCTGAACTGTGCTGAGGGCCCCCAAATCCCATTAAAAGCATCCCAGACTAGAAGTGCACCACATTTCCCAGGATTAAGATTTTGTGTTGTTCTTTTCTTACCATCCTGACTTTGTCAAACAAAAGTAAACATGCATAAGAATTACAAAAGCACTGACACATAGAATATTCAATATATGTACAACTAGCAATGAGGAACAAGAAATTGTCTCTGTAGTAATAACCAAACTTTTAGATTACAATACTGCTCCCTTGACACACAC